TATTCATATCATATTAATTAAAGGTACAACTTAATGAACCATAAGAATTATTCATATCATATTAATTAAATGTACAACTTAATGAACCATAAGAATTATTCATATCATATTAATTAAATGTACAACTTAATGAACCAGAAAATCATTCATATCATATTAATTAAATGTACAACTTAATGAACCATAAGAATTATTCATATCATATTAATTAAATGTACAACTTAATGAACCATAAGAATAATTAATATTATACAATAAGAGGTATAATTTATTCTCATTTCCGTAGTTATCCATCTATATTTCTCACAGGATGATGTTTGTGTATTGTTTCCTTAATATATGAGGTATATTTCTTTCAATTAAGATAATCACTTTTAATAATTGTTAGAAACTGTAGAACAATATTAGCGTCAAATAAGTAATACAGTATGCGGACTGTATATTTCTTGATAATGATTTCAACTGGTCGAATACATTTACGGCTAACCAATCAAATCAGTTGCGCGTTATTTTTTCTGATTTGTTTTAACATGATTTATTATTCGGTGTAGAACTGATCTACTTAATATCCCCTCTTTTAGAGGAGAACTAAGTGTAAGGCCTTGTTTGACCAAACCTCAGATTCTAGAGCCGGAAGTGACGTAAGCTCCGAATGTGGTGAGTCAAGTTGTAATATTACATATTGAGCTTGAATCAGGATTTTCCACATTATTTAAATTATGTTTTATAGCTATCCCCCAAACTAACCTTAGTAGCTTTTGTTCAATAGATCGACCCTTGTTTATTTTAAAATAGAATAGAACGAACTTTGTCTATTCAGACTTTGCATTTGTTTCTCAATTCAATATATCGTGCTTCGATTGTATATGAAAAAATCTAAACTATGAAACATGATTTAGTTTGTACTACTTGCATAATTAATGAACACACAAACAATTTCCAATGTACATAAAGTATTTAACTATGAACTATAAAAAGGCTCAATGACACCAGAATAATTAACATTTTATTTTCGTTTATGGTGTATTATGTTTCTGGTAAATGCTCAAACCAGTAATTATATTTTATTTTTCCTAGGAGGTACACAACTCAAATATTATACTTATTATTTTTCCTAGAAACACTCATCCAAATTATTCTAATTACTTTTTTCTTGAATGTACTCAGTCCACTTCTTTTAATTGTTACTTTTCCTCGAGTTACCCATTCCAATTATTTAAATTATTATGTTTCACAGAGTTAATGAAATTACTATTTATTATAATTATTATTTCTAATGGTCGTTCCTCTAATTATCACAGTATACGTTATAAACTCTAAAATTTAATTTATTGAAAATATTAATAATTTGTTTATTCGTCACTAGAGAGCACCACGGACCGTCTCGATGGTTACGAGCAACCACGAAAACCAATCAGGCCAAAAAACCTTGATCAGACAGTGTATCCTAACAGTTCTTTCAAGGGAATGAAATTATCGACTCCAAGCCACGGTTTGAAGTAAGAAATTCTGCATGTGGGCTAATAGAATTATTAAACGTTGAAAACTCAATGAACGAGTGAATTATAATAAGCATGTTTATATATACATATATATAACCAAAAACCCTATCAGGACAAATATCATAAACATATATATATATATTTATCTATCAGACATCCCTATAACGACAAACATAATAAACGTATATTTATATATATTTAGGACAACCTATAAAGACAAATATAAATATGTTTTTATATATAGTTCGGATATCCCTATAAGGAAAAATATAATATACATGTTTATATATATATATCGTACATCCCTATAAGGACAACTATAATAAACGTATTTTGTAATCTGTCAGACATCATTGTAAGAAGAAATATAATAAACACGTTTTTTTATATTTTGGACATTCCAAAAAAATAATAAACGTTTTTTTCAACTAGACTTATTTTATTATAAACCGTAGATGTAAACTTCCTGGTTTCTGATGTAAACTTTGTTGAAATTCACACATCGTATTTTTTCATCTGTACCGTTAGTTTTATAACTTCATCATCTTTTCCAACTGATGTGAAAAACTAAGTGGCTTATGTAAGGTTTTCGATCACGAAACTTTGTTAGAGGTGTTGGTATCAAGTTTTATCAGTCTACCTAGGCAGTAGCGAAAAAAAAAATGGAAGTGATAGAAAGTGAATTATTCTGGTGTTTTACAAGTATGATTAATTTTATTTGATAAATATACGAAAATACTCAACAAGGCCTATGTTATGGTCTTTTTAAGCAAGGGACTAATCTCGTTCACAGAAGTGACTACTCTCAGGGCTCCCTCTACAGTCCAATACACTTAGCCTCGTCCTCAGCACTTCCTGATGGTCTTGAACCCTCCGATACAGAGTGCGACAGAGATTTAACTGACAACAAAGAACTAGGTAATTAATTAATTAAGTAATTAATTACAGATATTTTAACCAAATAAGCGTGCATTTTATTGAAAAAAATTGATGAATTTTCATAATAATTGTAATTTTTATAACATCACGTTAGTTAAAAAAATGGGAAGAAAATGTCTTTTCTTACATAGTACAATGAAGAAGTATTTTTCAAGACAACTGACACAGAGTTTGAATAAAAAAAGTATTTTATAAGAACACTAAAGTAAAAGAAAACAAAACACGTCTATAGTTAGTCACCCTGTGAGTAGTTTATATTATTACTGCCTTGCACTAATGGCAGAAAAGTGATTTATACGTTTACTTGATACACTCTTGGTGTTTTACGTTCAATGAAACAAAAGCTTTTAAAATCAGAATTTGGAGAAAATTTCGAGATGGGAAACACAAATAGTTTCTTTTGTTGTCACTTGAGGTTGTTCAGCTTTCCAAAGTGTCTCTTACACATTTTTAGTTATAAGAATTTCCAATAGATGGCATTCCTTATCATTTACCTAGCTGGACTGATGAGAGCTGATACTGGACAGGTAATGGTTTACTTATCTAATGTGAAATTTTATGATTCGGATTACTGTGTATTTTTAACTTTCGTTAAACGAAGTCGATGGAATATTGACAGGTAACGATTTTCACGAAAGAGTCACAACTTACACCTTGAACCCGTGTTAACCTCGTACATGATAAGTCACTCATTTTTGCTAAACAGCGACAGTGTTAACTACACCCACAATAGGTCAAACATTTCTACTATACTAAGTGGTATGCCACTCTCGTATCCACTGGTAATAAGTCACACAAACCTCCAATGGCATAAGTCAATAAGACCATATCTGTGCTATTTGCTTGAGAACAGGTAACACATTCCATTAAGCTGTGTCATTACTTACTCCACTAGTAATTAATTATACATATCTGCTGTGTAAAGCCTCACAATAACACACAATCCAGCTCATTTGAAGCAGTGATGTTGTAACTAAATGCTCCCATTCGTATCTCTACATAAGCCACACATTTTACTAAAGTAGGAATTCCTAGTTAAATCCACGTTAGTGAAATATCTCAATTAGGTAAGAGAATTCTTAGAAACATTCAATAGAACCTCTGTTGGTTCTTAGAAACCTTGAATAGATAAACCTATATTGGTTCTTAGAAACATTAAATAGATAAACCTATATTGGTTCTTAGAAACCTTAAATAGATAAACCTCTGTTGGTTCTTAAAAACCTTAAATAGATAAACCTATATTGGTTCTTAGAAACCTTCAATAGATAAACCTATATTGGTTCTTAGAAACCTTAAATAGATAAATATAGGTTTATCTATTGAAGGTTTCTAAGAACCAATATAGGTTTACCTATTTAAGGTTTCTAAGAACCAACAGAGGTTTATCTATTTAAGGTTTCTAAGAACCAATATAGGTTTATCTATTTAAGGTTTCTAAGAACCAATCTCTGTTGGTTCTTAGAAACCTTAAATAGACAAACCTATATTGGTTCTTACAAACCTTAGATAGATAAACCTCAGATGGTTCTTACAAACCTCATATATAGATAAACTTCAGATGGTTCTTGCAAACCTCATATAGATAAACCTTTCTTGGTTCTTACAAACCTCATATAGATCAACCTGAGATGGCTCTCACAAACCTTAGATAGATAAACCTCAGATGGTTCTTACAAACCTCATATAGATAAACCTCAGATGGTTCTTACAAACCTTAGATAGATAAACCTCAGATGGTTCTTACAAACCTTAGATAGATAAACCTCTCTTGGCTCTTACAAACCTCATGTAGATAAACCTATGTTGATTCTTATAAGCCCGAGTTATATAAATATCTTTTGGTTCTTACAAATGAAACTGTCTAGTGTCCAAATATGTTAATTATGATAAAGGCTTGACTTATACTCATAAATCTCAGTTACATAAAACGATCACCAGTTTTTAATATATTTACTTCAAAAATCGTTAACTTCTCACATTTCTTAGTGTCTGTTATAACTCCTAAATATATGTACGTTTTTATTTGGTATTTATATGTCTCCTTATATATTTTTTATTGAAATAAAAGGTTTGTTAATTATTTTCAGATATTTTCTGATTCATCTCTTCCTTGTTCTTTCACAGTGGTGAAACCCAAACCCAGCTTGCAACGCTCCCCTCATCAGCAGCAGGGGGTCTTTTGTAGATGACGGATTTCCCTCATCAAAAGATGGTGTTTTGTAGACGACGGATTCCCTTATCAGAAAGTGGTCCCTTGTAGATCTCGGATTCCCTCATCTTTTGTAGATGGCGGATCTTGTGTATATCTGATTCATCAGCTAAATTCTTGTTAAACCAACAACAACATCCCTACATGTTCTGTGATATAATAAACAGTTTGAAACTCTTTACACGAATTTGAAGCTTAGAGATTCATCTCCTCTTTAATTTATAATATTTAGAATGTCTTCTGGTCGTAACTTGTCCAATATCTGTCGTTGTTTACAGTGGAGTAATAGCTTTTACTAATATCTCTTTACATTCGAGCTGCTTTCGTATAGGCCATTGTCCATCAAAAAGTTACATGTTTTCATTGATTTAATTCTAGTAGGTTTAGGAAAATATGTAAATAAATACTCATAAAGTTAATGTTTTTTTTTGGCCAAAACGTCATTCAGTAAAACCTTTAATATCTGCCGCTAGCAGCAAAGCAGAGAATGAAGTAGGTACGTCATGAACTTTGTATATAGCAGTAGTAACAATATTGTGCCATTAGATATCGCAACAGTCAGTTCTATTGTCGTTAGTAGTACCTCTGAATCGCACTGTTTGCATGATTGTTTAAAAAGCTAATAAAAATCAACGGTTTTCACGACTCGAATTGAGTGTAATTTTGTTATCTAATATCTAAGATACAGTTTACACAGATACATGTTATATCTAAGATACAGTTTACACAGATACATGTTATATCTAAGATACAGTTTACACAGGTACTGTTATATCTAAGATACAGTTTACACAGTACATGTTATATCTAAGATACAGTTTACACAGATACATGTTATATCTAAGATACAGTTTACACAGATACATGTTATATCTAAAATACAGTTTACACAGATACATGTTATATCTAAGATACAGTTTACACAGATACACGTTATATCTAAGATACAGTTTACACAGATACATGTTATATCTAAGATACAGTTTACACAGGTACGTGTTATATCTAAGATACAGTTTACACAGATACATGTTATATCTAAGATAAGATAAATACTGATGCATAGACATTAAATAAAGAATTAATATAAAAGATAAAGACGATTTTAAAAAAGATACTAATATATTTTTATGATAGTGAGTATGTTTAAGAATAGCAAGTACTTATTCGGGAGGATACAGTTCTAAAGTTTCACATACGGATTTGTAAAAACAGGTACTGAAACCATATAAACGAAGAAGTCGAATAAAAAAAAACCTTTAGATGAGCCATACAAGTTATATTGTAAAAACGTATTGTGAAAAGTGAAAGGAAGTGGTCGTTCTGTTTTCGAAAAACGACTATTAATACCATATCAAAGAAGTAAAAAAAAATATTTTTACACGATAATACATAAAGCTTTGGAAAACAACCATTCACACTATGTCAAAAAAGAGAGAGAGGAAAAGGTTTTACAAGGACCATTCCTAGATCTTGAAAAGAAACAGTATTGACATATTTTTAAAGAAAGTATTAGGAAAAAACAGTTTTACAGGGGTTATACCGCTTTCGAAAAACACAGCCATTATCCCCATGTTGTTATAAGCTATAGTTTAGTTTAAACTACTGAGACATAGTTTAGAAACAAAATGGATATAGACGGGATTGAATCCTCGATCTCCGGCTTACGAAACGTGTGCTGTACCATGTGAGCCAAAGTCTAAAGTTTTTTTTTCACATATGTGTACTACCTTCATCTTCTATATTACTGACAGCTACTGCCAGTAAGGATGTCACAAACAGTGTACTACCTACATCTTCTATATTACTGACAGCTACTGCCAGTAAGGTGTACAGTGTACTACCTACATCTTCTATATTACTGACAGCTACTGCCAGTAAGGTGTACA